ACTCTTCGAGCATTGTTTTCAGGTGACTGAAGGGACCAACCTCACTCTCAAAGAGTTTTGGAAAAACCACTTCGATTTCGTTGCCTGCCTCAAGATGATCAACAAGGCGGGGGAAGGGGTTACCAAGAGAACTGTAACTTCTGCTTGGAAGAAGCTTTGGCCGGAGAGCGTTGTCGATTTGTGACTTTGAGGGGTTCGAGACAGTACCTGTGGAGCCTGTAGGCAACGAGATTTTGTCTTTGGCCACTATCATGGGATTGGAGATGGATAACAGTGATATCGACAAGCTTGTGGAAGAGCACAGCCAAGAGCTGACCACCCAAGAGCTTATGGAGTTGCACTGTGTTTCACAGCAAAAAGTTTTGGGGAAAAGTTTGTCAGAGGAGGAGGAGGTAACAGAAAAGCAACAATCTTCTTGCGAAATAAGAGAAATGCTGAAAGCATGGCAAACTGTTGCATCTTACATTGAGAAGCATCACCCTAATAAGGGAGTGGCTATGCGCGTTGCAAATTTATTTAATGATAATGCTGTATCGCATTTTCGCCAAATTTTGAAGCGTCGGCAAAAACAAATGTCTCTGGACATCTTTGTAAAAAATAAATAATTAGCTATCATAATTATTTTTGTATTATTATAATTATAATTTTTTTTCTTACTACAAATCGAATTCGCATTCCAGGTGGGTTCGTTTCGCGTTTAAAGAAAAGATGAAGATGATTCACTCTTCTTAACAATATGTATGTGGTTTTCTTTGAATAAACGTTAAACGTAGCATTTTGTGAGTATTTTTTCGACATGGAACGCATTATCGTTTTTACATTAATTTATATGAGAAAAATTTTTTCGTATATCGAGTGTTTCGTTTACCGAGTATGGTTCTGGAACGAATTATGCTCTTTAAGCGAGGTTCCACTGTAAATGATACAATCACTGTCTGAATTTTAATGACTGACACAACCACTGTTTAGATATCAATAATTGACACTATCACTGTCTGGGTCTCATTGACGGATAAGCCACTGTCTAGATATCAATGACTGACACAAGCACTGTCTAGATATCATTGACTAAAACAAGCACTGTCTAGATTTCAATGACTGACACAAGCACTGTCTAGATATCAATGACTGAAACAAGCACTGTCTAGATATCAATGACTGAAACAAGCACTGTCTAGATATCAATGACTGAAACAAGCACTGTCTAGATTTCAATGACTGACACAAGCACTGTCTAGATATCAATGACTGAAACAAGCACTGTCTAGATATCAATGACTGAAACAAGCACTGTCTAGATATCAATGACTGAAAGCACCCTAGAGCACTGTCTAATATCAATGACTGACTGACACAAGAAACAAGCACTGTCTAGATATCAATGATGAAACAAGCACTAGTCTAGCTGACTGAAACAAGCACTGTCCGTAGATATCATTGACTGAAACAAGCACTGTCTAGATATTAATGACTGAAACAAGCACTGTCTAGATATCATTGACTGAAACAAGCACTGTCTAGATATCATTGACTGAAACAAGCACTGTCTAGATATCATTGACAAAAACAAGCACTGTCTAGATATCATTGACTGAAACAAGCACTGTCTAGATATCAATGACTGAAACAAGCACTGTCTAGATATCATTGACTGAAACAAGCACTGTCTAGATATCATTGACTGAATCCATTGACAAACAAGCACTGTCTAGATATCAATGACTGAACCAAGCACTGTCTAGATGACTGATCATCAATGACTGAAACAAGCACTGTCTAGATATCATTGACTGAAACAAGCACTGTCTAGATATCATTGACTGAAACAAGCACTGTCTAGATATCAATGACTGAAACAAGCACTGTCTAGATATCATTGACTGAAACAAGCACTGTCTAGATATCAATGACTGAAACAAGCACTGTCTAGATATCAATGACTGAAACAAGCACTGTCTAGATATCAATGACTGACACAAGCACTGTCTAGATATCAATGACTGAAACAAGCACTGTCTAGATATCATTGACTGAAACAAGCACTGTCTAGATATTAATGACTGAAACAAGCACTGTCTAGATATCATTGACTGAAACAAGCACTGTCTAGATATCATTGACTGAAACAAGCACTGTCTAGATATCATTGACAAAAACAAGCACTGTCTAGATATCAATGACTGAAACAAGCACTGTCTAGATATCATTGACTGAAACAAGCACTGTCTAGATATCAATGACTGAAACAAGCACTGTCTAGATATCAATGACTGAAACAAGCACTGTCTAGACATCATTGACTGAAACAAGCACTGTCTAGATATCATTGACTGAAACAAGCACTGTCTAGATATCATTGACTGAAACAAGCACTGTCTAGATATCAATGACTGAAACAAGCACTGTCTAGATATCATTGACTGAAACAAGCACTGTCTAGATATCAATGACTGAAACAAGCACTGTCTAGATATCAATGACTGAAACAAGCACTGTCTAGATATCAATGACTGACACAAGCACTGTCTAGATATCAATGACTGAAACTCGCACTGTCTAGATATCAATGACTGAAACAAGCACTGTCTAGATATCATTGACTGAAACAAGCACTGTCTAGATATCAATGACTGACACAATAATTAATGTCTAATTTAACTTAATTATACATTCTTTGCTTGATTTTTTATTATACATGTGATGATTTTTGTGTGTGTGCACCAGTTGTTTCTTCCTTACACACAATTGATTTATGTTCTTTCAGTTTGATATTTGCTGGGGTTTGACTGTCAGTTAATGAACCCTTATCCGTTGGGGTGTTTTATTGTGATATCCTGTGTATTATGAACAATTATTATTAGACGATCTTTGGTTCACGGAGGTTTCTGGAGCTGCGGGAGGTTTCTACCAGTTGTTTGCCACGTTTGTTCATTACTTCAGTTGTGACACATTTACCTTGTGTCAAATCTCTGTTGTTGGGGAAATGAAGGATCTTGTGCAGACACTCTTTTGTGTTGACCTGTACAGATAACCCACTGCACATTACCACACCGTCGTCGGCAACAGTTTTCAAGAGTCAATAGGGCCTCAGAACTGCTGAAACGGCATAGTCATAAAACTTATGTCTATCTTGCCGTGGTCTTACATTTGTTTTCCTTATCTACGTAGATGACTGCTATTGCCACTATTTTCCGTCTACTTTTTGTGGCTATGGTTTTTACATGATAAGCTAGATAACGTCAAGACCAATCCTACCCTTTGACGCGGAAACATGTCTGGAAGGGTTAAGGCATTATTACTAATTTTTGCTCCCAAAGAGTCCCGGTTGTTCATTAAATCCTTACTTTTGCGCCGGAAACTGCTCAGAGTTACTAATAAACTACAAACATTCAAAACTGGCGCTCTAGAAGATAACTAAATGGTATGTAATAACTAATGTAGAGCTTTGGGAGAGAACTAAACAGGCTCCAGTGGACCAAGAAATGAGGAAAAGACGCTGGCGTTGGATAGGACACACACTGAGAAAAAAGGAGAACAGCATAAATAGAATGTCTTTGCACTGGAACCCACAGGGGCATAGCAATAAAGGAAGCCCCCCCCCCCCCCCCATCCAAAAAAAAAAAAACACACATACATGGAGAAGAGAGCTGGAGAATGAAGTTAGAAAGAAGGGGAGGACATGGGGAGAGCTTCATGCAATGGTGAAGGATAGAACGACTTGGCGTGAGTGGGTTGAGGACCAATGCTCCATTGGGGGATAGAAAGGCAGAAGAAGAAGACATGATATATATCATTTGTCACGATCTATCAGTATGCTCGTTCGCCTCGCATTCCGCGTTCATCCCTTTTCATCCTTAACCTTGTTCACCTGAACTTAAGTACATAATTTATGTTTCCTGCCTAACAAGACGAAGAAGACGGAGGAATCAAGGGAAGAAGAAAGAAGAAAAATGAAGATGAAGAAGGAAGAAGGAAGAAAGACGAAGAAGAACGAGAAGAGGGAGAATATGTTGAACTGTCAACTTCATGAAAAGTGGTTTTCACAAGGGTAGGCTAAGTTCAGAATATCAGTTATGAATGAGTCATCATAAAAGGTATAAAATAAAACTGGATAGATGTGTAGGAATCATAGAAAAAAGAACGAAACACACACACACACAAACACACACATACACACACACATTTACTGTACATAGATTTAGGGCCATGAAAAAATAAATCTAACTTTTGACAATAGTCATGAAAAATCATAGACGGTAATGAATAAGAGGATCAACAATAATTGACAAACGTATTCAAGGTTATCTTGACGTTTCGGTCATGAAAATATATGCTAGTCACACCAAACAGAGAAATTTGTAGAACAGCAGAGCTAGACAGAAAGTGTGTAGAAATAATACGTTGAGCATTATGACAGTAATGAGCTGAGGGCAGAAAGGGGGAGGGGCGGGGATTTGAAATAAATACGAGTTGTCCTAATATAGAACTTTATGCTGAAGGCAAATGGTTAAGAGCAAAGTAATCAGAAACAAGATATTCATTGTCATAGCAATCAGTGTTTAGAAATATTCATTCCATGTGGATGAATACACCCTAGTGACTTGATGAAGTCATTCTCCTTTCTCCTTCTTGTAGGGGTGTCCGGAAAGTTCGCTCGTACAACAGTTACACATAAATCAGTGACACCTCTGTGGCCAGGGGAGTTAAAGTGTTTAGATAATGACACTTTGGAAGGACGAGTGATACTTCTTAAATGTTGAGTTAATCGGTCAGAGAGACGTCTCTTTGTCTGCCCTATGTACTTCATTTGACACCTCCTACAGATGATAACATAAATAATGTTTCTGGACTCGCAGGTAAACAATTCCTTCAAGACCAATGTTCCCTTAGGAAACACGATTTTCCTGATCTGGATAACATGCTTGCATGTCAAACATTTCAGTCGGCGACACTGGGCTGTACCCACAGGTGTGACATCTTGAGTGTCATCACCATCAAAGTCTCTTTTGTTACCACCACAGTCGTCGCTCAAAGTGGGAAAATACATCCTGTTATAAGTGGAATCATCATAACGGACAAGGTTAGCATCATCATCAACATCGCTGTCATTAACATCACAAGCACTAGACACAGGAGAATACATCCTGTTAGGTGTTGAAACATCATTACGGACACTTTTATGATCATCATCAATATCGCGGTCATCAATATTACAAGCATCAGTATCGCTAGAAATGGAAGAATACAACCAGCTATGAGAAGAGTCATCTTTACGGACAATGTTATCATTATCATCTAAATCACTGTCATCAATATTACAAGCATCGGCATCGCTAGAAACAGGAGAATACATCCCGTTATGTGTTGAATAATCTTTACGGACAACGCTATCATCAACATCACTGTCATCGATGTTACCACCGCCAATATTACTAAAAACAGGAGAACCCATCACGTGATGTGTTGAATAATCATTACGGACAATGTTATCATCGTCATCAAAATCACTGTCATCAGTATTACTAGCATCGCTAGAAATGGGAGAATATTTCCTGTTATGTGTTGAATCATTTCGGTTAATGTTATCATCACCAACATCACTGTCATAAACATTAATACTGCCGACTTCGATAGAAACGGGAGAATCCATCACGTCATGTGTTGAATCATCTTTACGGACAACGCTATCATCAACATCACTGTCATCGATGTTACCACCGCCAATATTACTAAAAACGGGAGAACCCATCACGTGATGTGTTGAATAATCATTACGGACAATGTTATCATCGTCATCAAAATCACTGTCATCAGTATTACTAGCATCGCTAGAAATGGGAGAATATTGCCTGTTATGTGTTGAATCATCATTTCGGTTAATGTTATCATCACCAACATCACTGTCAAAAACATTACTACTGCCGACATCGATAGAAACGGGAGAATCCATCACGTCATGTGTTGAATCATCATTTCGGTTAATGTTATCATCACCAACATCACTGTCATAAACATTACTACTACCGACATCGCTAGAAACGGGAGAATCCATCACGTCATGTGTTGAATCATCATTTCGGTTAATGTTATCATCACCAACATCACTGTCATAAATATTACTACTACCGACGTGAATAGAAACGGAAGAATCCATCACGTCATGTGTTGAATCATCTTTACGGACAATGTTATCATCAACATGACTACCAACATCACTGTCATAAATATTACCACTACCGACATCACTAGAAACGGGAGAATCCATCACGTCATGTGTTGAATCATCATTTCGGTTAATGTTATCATCACCAACATCACTGTCATAAACATTACTACTGACGAAATCGCTAGAAACGGGAGAATCCATCACGTCATGTGTTGAATCATCATTTCGGTTAATGTTATCATCACCAACATCACTGTCATAAATATTACTACTACCGACATCGCTAGAAACAGGATAATCTATCACGTCATGTGTTGAATCATCTTTACGGACAACGCTATCATCAACATCACTGTCATCGATGTTACCACCGCCAATATTACTAAAAACGGGAGAACCCATCACGTGATGTGTTGAATAATCATTATGGACAATGTTATCATCGTCATCAAAATCACTGTCATCAGTATTACTAGCATCGCTAGAAATGGGAGAATATTGCCTGTTATGTGTTGAATCATCATTTCGGTTAATGTTATCATCACCAACATCACTGTCAAAAACATTACTACTGCCGACATCGATAGAAACGGGAGAATCCATCACGTCATGTGTTGAATCCTCATTTCGGTTAATGTTATCATCACCAACATCACTGTCATAAACATTACTACTACCGACATCGATAGAAACGGGAGAATCCATCACGTCATGTGTTGAATCATCATTTCGGTTAATGTTATCATCACCAACATCACTGTCATAAATATTATTACTACCGACATCGATAGAAACGGGAGAATCCATCACGTCATGTGTTGAATCATCATTTCGGTTAATGTTATCATCACCAACATCACTGTCAGAAATATTATTACTACCGACATGAATAGAAACGGGAGAATCCATCACGTCATGTGTTGAATCATCTTTACGGACAATGTTATCATCAACATGACTACCAACATCACTGTCATAAATATTACCACTACCGACATCACTAGAAACGGGAGAATCCATCACGTCATGTGTTGAATCATCATTTCGGTTAATGTTATCATCACCAACATCACTGTCATAAACATTACTACTGACGAAATCGCTAGAAACGGGAGAATCCATCACGTCATGTGTTGAATCATCATTTCGGTTAATGTTATCATCACCAACATCACTGTCATAAACATTACTACTGACGAAATCGCTAGAAACGGGAGAATCCATCCCGTCATGTGTTGAATCATCTTTACGGACAATGTTATCATCAACATGACTACCAACATCACTGTCAGAATTATTATTACTACCGACATGAATAGAAACGGGACAATCTATCAAGTCATGTGTTGAATCAACTTTACGGACAATGTTATCATCAACATGACTACCAACATCACTGTCATAAATATTACTACAACCGACATGAATAGAAACGGGAGAATCCATCATGTCATGTGTTGAATCATCATTTCGGTTAATGTTATCATCACCAACATCAATGTCAGAAACATTACTACTGCCGACATCGTTAGAATCCATCACGTCACGTCATCTTTACGGACAATATTATCATCATAACCATCATCCTCAACATCATTGTTATCAATAATACCACCACAGACAGTTCTAAAAACGTTTATTTATTTATGAATTTTGTATAGGTGTCAAGTGTCTTTAAGACTAGATGTTTTCTTGACAGAAAACAGTCGTTAGTAAGCGGTTTATAACACATTATTGTAAATTAACTTTTAATTTTTTTGGGTGCTTCCCCTACGAACTCCAGCAGAAGAATCCATGTTGTTCGTCCTCTTCTGGACTTTCAGCAAGAAAAATATTTATTTAAACATTGTTTGTTGATTTAGCTGTGTAGTAATGCACCCGGCGCGATGCAGCAAAATTTGCAATGCAATAAACTTTGTCCGCATTATTTGAATTCACAACAAGAAAACTGTTTTGAAACATCCATCGTCCAAATTCCAAGGGTCAATATCCGTGTCCAAGTCAAAATCTTCCATTTTAAGATGAACAACTGCGATTATAATTCCTGCCAGCTCCAAGATAATGAACTTCTTAGTAGACATTAGCATGATTATGGCAATCCTCGGCAAATCGTGTATTATATATAGATTGGCGGCGTGTCTTCGTGTCGTCATGTGTCCCATGCTAGTTAAGGCTGTCTGGCTGGTCTTCTACCTCTCGCTAAATTTAGCAAGTGATATCACAAATTGATTTCCCCGTTTGTGTTCAGGGCCTCAGTGTGGGGAAAACAACAATAGATCTACTGCCCCCTCAACAAGCATGTCGTAAGATTCGACTAATGGGAGCTTTCTTCGAAGTGCATCTGTCTGAGAGGCAAGGAACCAAAAATCTGCATACAGATAACTAAGGTCTGTAAACGGATGTGCACGCAACACTCAGGTTCTGGAACAGGACTAAAGTCTCCAGGTGGGGGAATACCCAGGACTTTGAGCAGCAATTTAAGCCGGTGAGGGCAAAGAAGAAGATACACTGGTTGCTGTACACTATGTAAATAATCCACACCTCCCGAGTTCACAGCGTTTCCTTCGTGCCAAAGAACTGCATGACTGTGGGGTGTACTGCCAATTACGAAAACAGGTAGGTCGTATGGCGGAGGCATCATTGTTCAGCATGCCTTTTTCTAAACAGTCCTACTATTGTTATTTTATTTTAATGTTATTATTTTATTTATTTATATATTGATTCAATTTAACAAAATTTTTTTTTCATGTTTATTTTATTTTATAATAATATTTTTTCTAGCTCTTATATCAGGACTAGTTATGGTTCATAAACATTTGTATTTCTAATAATCTCCTAATCCTACTATTGTTATATGTTATCACAATTATTTGAATGACTATTTTTTAAGCCCTCCTTTATTCTATTTTATTCGTTCCACATTACATTTTTTCTAGTTTCTCACATGACCCCCTGGTGGGTGGAGTACTCTCCCCTTAGTTATTGTTGTGTTCATGTTGGGAAAGACCCTGGCCGAAACATCGTGTTATCTGTTTTTGTGCACGTGGTTCCGCTTGCTCATTTCGTTGAGCTTTTTTAGTCACAGTCTACCGGACAAAATTTTAGCTAATGGGTGTAATGGCCCAGGCTGCTTCCTCGGCAAGGAGTTGGGACCACAATGGGGTAACTCTTTTTTCATCCTCGCAAAACTTCGCAACACTATTTAATTTAATAAAGCCATTGAAAAAGAATTATCGCTGGAGTAACGGAGTTCCGTCACTAGGCGTGATTTCCTCTTTATTGGCCAACGAAAAGAGATGAAGAATTAAAAACGGAGAAAAGGAGGAAAAGGAGCGAAAGAAAAAAAAAAGAGAAAGTGAAAGGCAGGCTTAAAGAAATTTAGATAAAAAACACTAACACCGTAGATTAGGCTACTCTATCTGTATAACCCTACATGCTACATAAAATAACATGATATAACCATGTAAAAAATATGCAAGAAGCGGCCTGCCATTGCAGGCAGGGTAAAGGCTCGGTCAGCACCACTAGCACCGTCAGCCCCACCAGCACCACCAGCACCACTAGCAGCTCCACCAGCACCACCAGCCCCACCAGCCCCACAAGCACCGTCAGCCCCACAAGCACCACCAGCACCACCATCCCCACCAGCACCACCATCCCCACCAGTACCGTCAGCCCCACTAGCCCCACCAACACCGTCAGCCCCACCAGCCCCACCAGCACCGTCAGCCCCACCAGCCCCACCAACACCGTCAGCCCCACCAGCACCGTCAACCCCACCAGCACCACCAGCCCCACCAGCATCGTCAGCCCCACCAGGCCCACCAGCACCACCAGCCCCACCAGCACCACCAGCCCCACCAGCACCGTCAGCCCTACCAACACCGTCAGCCCCACCAGCATCACCAACACCGTCAGCCCCACTAGCACCACCAGCCCCACCAACACCGTCAGCCCCACCAGCATCACCGTCAGCCCCACCAGTCCCACCAAACCATCAGCCCCACCAGCCCCACCAGCCCCATCAACACCGTCAGCCCCACCAGCACCACCAGCACCGTCAGCCCCACCAGCACCGTCATCCCCACCAGCACCGTCAGCCCCACCAGCACCACCAGCACCGTCAGCCCCGCCAGCGTGTCTGACTTGGCTATAAATGATAGTAGATAGATGGGGATTTATTTCGCATGTTGAGTTGCACAATTCTGTTCTTGTACGACTTAGAAGTAACACAGACAGACAGACAGACAGACAGACAGACAGACAGACAGACAGACAGACAGACAGACAGACAGACATTGACAGACAGACATAAACATTGGTATAGATGGACTGAGAAGCAGACAGAGGGACAGACAGACAACCAGACGTAAAGAATGATCCTTGTGTGAGAAGGTGTGAATTAAGTGCACACCTGTTATTCGGGTTTTAGCCCTGTCTACATGGCAAGTTTTGTTGGGCTGGGGCGGATTTTAATGCGTCAAGTCTATACAGCTGAATAGAACTGTGAACTAGTAGTTATTTTAAAGTTAAATAGTTGCTGTTGTTCTTAGACATGTACAGGTTTACATGTCAAATTATTTCTTTATATCACACTGTTGAACGTCCCCAGGATGTGAACGCTATATTCATAACCAGGAAATTGTCTGCGTCGTCTCTATGCAATTTCGAATTGACTCTATCAGTTGGAGACTTGAGAAATGACGTCATCGTACTCGACACATTCCCATAAGCGCGTTCGTTGTCCTTAGCTTTGTTAGCCAGCGAAGTTCCAGTTTCGATAGGTCCTTGTAGCAGTCTGACTGTGTGTTCGTCTTGACTTTCCTCTGAGTGTCCAATGTCTACCAGATTATCTGACCATCCTTGGCTTTATCATTCACTTGAGACCGTGATGTTAGTTGAGCTTAACTCCAGACACGAAACACCAGATCTTTTAGTTAGTTAGTTAGTTAGTTAGTTAGTTAGTTAGTTAGTTAGTTAGTTAGTTAGTTAGTTAGTTAGTTAGTTAGTTAGTTGGGTTATCATCATTGCACTCCGGACATGTCCATAGGTGCTCAGATCCTCCCCTCAGTATGAACCCCAACGTCCGATAGCTAATAGTACCAGTTCTATGCTGATTAACAAGTCTTCTGGCGTGTCTGGTGTGCGTCTCGTTTTTTGCTATGCCGATCTTAATTCCCAAGTCTGCCATTCTGGCGAGTGATGTAGATTCACTGCCACTAAAGTCCTCTATCCTTCCCATTTCTCTGAGGGCATTGATAATATCAGCATGATCCATAGGCCGACCACTGGTAGTGATAGCAGATCCAGCCAACCTGTCAGCTCTTTCATTTCCATCGACGCCTGGAACAAAAATAAAGGTGACTCTTTACTTTACAGATCTTTTACATTACTGTTTATTGCATGAGCAGGCGCGGGCGCACACACACATACATACACACAAACACTGAACCGTGCAGAAAAATTATTACAATAGCAATATTTTTTTACACGTGCGTTTGTATATTTTTTGTTACGCGTGCATGTGTGTTTTCTTTCGTCTTGCTTCCCGGGTATAGTTCACGTCCATAAATATTTCGGTACATAACAAGAATAGCTGATATGTTTCAACTGTTTTACGGACATTCTTTCCCACTCTGCCATCTCTAATTGAGTATAATAATTAAACTCCCGGTGGATGTACTCGATTACTTCCGAAGGAGGGGGGGGGGGGAGGCACCGATCTAATTGGTAGGACATTTACCAGCAAATACGACCCTAGTAATGGGTTAGTTGTGTATCCTTTACAAGACGTTGCAGAACCAACCCCAACAGCCCCTGGCTGTTGTGTAGTTTTTCTAGGCAAATTTGCGTCCAGTAGTTTGCCATTTCCTCTGCACGGTCGGCTTTCTTGATACCACTGTCGAAACTGTTATCCGTTTTTGATCAGCGAAGTGGTGAAGCCTATAGACATTTGTCGGGAAATGGAAGTCCAGCAAGGTGATGCACACCTGTCAGTTCAGCAAGAGTATGAATGGAGTAGGACGTTTCAAAAGTGCCTGACATCTGTGACAAATTGTTCATTCCCGTGCCAAACACAAAGAATAGTAACTACCAGATCGATTGACTGACATGGTTTTTGTAATATCTATCACGTTCTTAAGGTTTTCATTTGAAGCCATATCATAGTTACTGAACCTGCTTGTAAACTCGATCGGTTGCCCCTTTCTAGACACATCGCCTTTTCAATTGCTGCATTTCAATACTGATCCCTATTTCTGTAGGTAAATGAATGCATGTTTTACCTGGCAGGTTTAATCTAAGGTGACCCCCCCCCCACCCCCTTAAATGCCCTCCATGCTTGTTTGTAAGTGTTGAATATAGTCTTATGCTTTGTGTATATTTTAACCCATTCAAATATCAGAACAATCAACCAGACGTCAAAACTGAAGCCCTGTAGATGTTGATATGCAGAAAAATGGGTCACATTCAATGGAAACAATTAATTGAGTAGAAAGGTTATGCAGATACTGGAACTTAAAAACGAGATTAAGGAACTTTTGAATCAAAATGTAAGGATTTGATGAGCATCAAGTGACAAAACGTGATATAATAGTGTGCACTAACAACGTCGAAAACATAAGCTATCTTTCAAACGTCTCTTAGACAAAACTATTATCAAAATAAAGGTTATAGAAATTAAAATTTTCAAGTAAAAACTTTCACTGTGAATTTGATTGAGCAAGCCACATAGTAATATATAAATATTGTGTTCACCCGTCCATTGATATCTAAATGTTTCGTATTAAAAAACTATATGTATATTTATACTTTTTAAAAAATGAGTTCATATCGAAAACAGTACTAAAGGTATTCCTAAGGTTTAAGCCTTAAAATATATAGGGTGTATATTTAATCACTGTTGAAATAATCTATTTGCACCCTGTAATTAAATTGATGTTTTATGTCGTGTATCAAGCGCTACGTAACCGTTACTTTAGAATACCGCTGCTATATAATTGTGTTTTAATATTACGAATTATTTACAATTTTCTTCTTCTTCTTAATTTTCTTCTTCTTCTTCTTCTTCTTCTTCTTCTTCTTCTTCTTCTTCTTCTTCTTCTTCTTCTTCTTCTTTTTCTGCAGCGTTCCAAGCCATCAAGATTCATTGCTGCAGATATGACCCGCCTCATCTCTCTGGTTGCCCTTCTCTATCCAGTTGGTGACACCTAGTGTCTGGACGTTATCTCTCAATCGACTTCTTTATCCGCATCGTAATCTACGACCATTCAGCTTCCTTTTGTATTAGTTGTAATGCTGTAAACTATTATAGATGAGTATTTTTAGTCGAGCATGTGTTCCAAAACGGTGACAGGTATTCGAATGTGGTTGCTCAACAATTGATGATGTCATTTCCTGATACATAAGTACCTCGTGCTAATAATCTTGGTGATTTAACCAACAGCATTGATTGTGAACAGAACTGTAATGTGAAAAACAGTACGCAAAATAAGACTATAACAGCATAGTTGCATCAACTCCTCAGACGGTGATTACAAAAATAGGAATGGCAATACACGAGAAAGAAAAATAAATAACAAAAAAAAAAAAAAAAATCAGTAAAAAATACACTATACATTTCAGGACTCCAGGACTTCGACATTTAGATAAAAATTCTTCTCAATCTAAGAAGTTTGTATTGGAGGCATCCTGGACATCTGTGACGATGATTTGCTACAGCAATACCGAGACCTAAATTACTTGTTACCTGTTGTCCATATCGACAACCTAGCAAATCAGTCGGACGCATTCGAGCTTCATAAATCACCCCTGTGTCTCCATGCTCAAAGTACGCAGTAGTAGTTGACTGGCATATCTTCTTTTTTTTTTTTATCCCCTTTCTCCTCCCGCATCCGGTCTGCATGTTTGACATTTACCAATTTCCAACAGGTGGTTCATTTTCTCGGACTCTTTCGTCTAGAAGGCAGCTTAACCATTGCAGACGCAGCCAGTCTGTCGGCTGTTTTCTTTCCTTTCACCCCGACATGCGCCGAAGTGTAGAGCCAAGATACTTTCTGAGGTAGGACTTTTATATGTTGTCAACCCATTCTAGTCGGAGTTTGCAAGTTTGGATTTTCTGGTTCTTTATTAATATCCTACCCCCAGATGACGTCACCGTACAGTTCAACATTTCAGAGGGTGGTAAGACTGGGTTTCCCGGCTTTCTGAGGCTTTTACATCCTTAAAACATCTAGAACTGGCCCTAACCCCAAACCACCTACGTTCTACGAGAGAGTGCAGCCTGGGTCCCACGACTGCATGCAGACTAGTTGCCACGACTGCATACAGTCTGTCTACCCCCTACCCACCCCCGAATTATTAGACTGTCCTATGACCTGTGGATTTCCCCTGTTTGGGGTAGGATGTTAATAAAGCACTGATTTTCTTATATTTGCATATTTAGTCCGTCACGACCAGTGCGTGAGGTGCTTTCTACTCCTCTAGCCATGGAAATGATCTGTAACAGCTGTTGTCTCTATCGTCCTGCTAGAAGCAGTTAAATTAAATAATTGACTTTCTTCTCAAACTTTAGGTGAAACGTGAAAGAAACAAAAAAGAAAAAATATCTCAATCAAAGCATCAAGGTGAATTTGATTTTAAAGAAAACGTATTGTGGTAGTGATATATGATTCTGAAAGCAGTTTTGAACGTGAAGAACAAACATTGATTGAAACAGATAATCAGGCAAGGTAAGCTACTAAATATACATTTCCACAGTTATACAAAAGTTATTCGTAAGCTAAGATCAACTTTGTGAAGACGTACCAAAAACAAATAAAGCTGTCCAAGTTTCAAAAGAAAATTCTCTGGAAGGGTCTTCTTTAAGATTTTTAGAATTTCTTGTTGAATATGAAGTTTTACATTATGTACAAATTCTGACTTTAGCCTGAAGATTAAGGTCAAGTACGAGCCAAGTTCGGCTTTCAGGCTTAGCTATCTTGTCAGTTTGAAACATAATAGCGAAAGTGGGGTCCGAGTCTGAAAAGGTTGAAAACCATTAATTTAGAAGGCACTTCTCACGATAATGAGCATTTTCTACCCCGAGTGTGACCAGTCAGAGTCAGCATTCGTAGACAAAATGCAAAAACGAGAAACGATCTTTCGGCACTTCTTTCTTTGATAATTTTTATATATTTTATGTCTGCAAACAAAAACTAATAACAATAGCATCAAATCGAAACTACTCTAAACTGAAACACGTTAAAGCAAAGAACAAGATTAGTAGCGGTGTAACACAGAGAGCAGATATTATCTTTTTCATGGCTTGAAATGTTACACACGTTTTTCTTGTGTTGTTAGTGTTTGATCAACGCCTGTCGCTGTAATATATTACGTAATGTTATATTGTCACAGTCAACTTCACTTTAGACTGGGCATTTCCCACGCCGGCTCAGTTCTTTGATTTAGCAGCCATACACTAATTTTTCCCCTTGAGAATCTGGTTATATCTAACATACTGTCTGGCGTCAAAATGGTAAAACGGCATGTGGCTACCGACCCGACATATCCACTGTGCAGAGTTAAGCAGACGCTCGAGCACGTATTGTCCGAGTACAGAAAAGCCCTAGGCCAGGGAAAATCCATTTGGCGCCACAATTAAGATCTCAAAGAGTTAGCGGACATTGCGAACCAAGCCAGGATGAGGGCCACCGCGAGGGTTAGTCCTACCGTCACCCACATGCGTTTCGTCAAGGCTGAACAGATTTATGAAGGTAAAATCAACAAGGTCACATACGCTGCATCAATACTTGACTGTGCGAGGGACTGGTTACTGGCTGTCGACCTGCCTGGTTTTGAAACGTACCCAGAGTCAATCCAGAAGACCGACCTGAGACCCGACATACTTCTGCACTCTACAGACAAACGCCAGCTCATCCTGATTGAGCTGACCGTGCCGTACGAGTCCTGGCTGGAAGAAAATCACATGTACAAGCTCGAGAAGTACTGTGGGCTCCTGGCCGGTCTGAGAAGAGTCGAGGCGCACGCAGTAAAAATCTTCGCCGTCGAGGTAGGCGCAAGAGGTCTTGTCCCCACTTCAATGTGCAATGTCCTAAAGCAGCTGGGCTTGCGAGGAAACGAGCGTAAACGGTCACTGAAACGACTGGGCGAATCTACTGAAAGAGCTTCGAACTGGCTCTGGATGCAATGGAACGTCGTGGGGGATGGGCTTCGGTAAACTTGTCCAAGTCCCTAGTGGAAAAGAACGTCTTATCCCTTAAAAGCCAAAGTGTCCGATAAATGTATATCAGTGTCTCTCTGTCGACTGCCAGAGTATAAATACCAAAGTATAACACTTGTCCGGTGAACCAACCGAAAGTTTGTTACTATGGTCGTAAGGTAGTCGGCTGATCTAATCTGCTACCACAGCGTCAAATACCAATAAATCTCACACTACCTGTTACAAATCACTATGTTCTCTTTTCCCTGTCCGAGAACATCAGGTAAAGTGCAGCAGGGAAAGATCGAGGCCTGACATCACGACCTAAGTCGGCCCACCTTCCGAGATTGTATTGGAAGTAATGGGCCGAAACAATCATTGACGAAGGATCTTTTTACTGATGATCGGTGGACCCCTGCTGTACATGCTTCCCTGTGGAGTTCTTCTTATTCTTATCACATACTCACATATTAACCTAGAACACGGAAAAAGCTCGCGTCACCAAGTTTTACCCCCGGGTCACGGGATTCATAACTTTCATCATTGAATTCTGTAAAGCTGACAGTCTGTGTCTCGAGCTGATCTTGTAAACATAAAATTCATAAAGGTTATCCACACTTAACCCCATTTTGTGTAAACACATGAAGTAATGACTCGTCCAAACGACCACTGATTGTTTGAGTTGACCGAATAATTTATTGATATGACTGATATACTTAGTTTCCCAGTGTGGATTCTGGATCCCCATTGCGGGAAAACAAGAATAGGCCTACTCAAAAAAGCATGTTTTAAGAGTCGCTTATTTGGGGGCTTCCTTCGAAGTCTTAGTGCATCTACCTGAGAGGCAAGGAACCAACAATCTGTACAACAGATAAGATTTGATTGGTGGTTGATTAGACTGATATCCTGAGTTCATTTGTCGTTGAGTAGATTGGTATTCTGACTTGACTGGTGGTTGAGTAAACTGATATCCTGAGTTGCCTGGTGGTTGAGTAGATAGATATCATTAATTGTTTGGTTGATAAGCATCTTGAGTTGATTTGTTGAATGAGCATATTGATATCCTTAACTGATTACTTGATTAATATCCTAAGTTCACTTTTTTGTTGGTTGAGCTGACTTGTTGTGTTGATTGGTTTAGCCGAGATTTTGACCGACTGGCTGCATGATTGGATAAATAGTTGTATTGACTGGTTAGCTGAGCTGACGGCTTCACAGCATTTCCTGGTAGACTGAGCTAATCGATAAGTGAGATAGTTAGTTAAATTGCCTGATTGATAAGTTGAGTTCATTGAATGGCTGGGTTACCTGACTGAAAAAAGGAGGTAGGAGTGAGACCGGGGGGGGGGGGGGGGGGGGCAGTTAGATTAATTATTTCAATTGATTGATCAAATCCAAAGATACCTATGTCAAATAATCATCCCTCTATAGATAATTTATTAGATCACAGAAAATTAATTTGATAAAATCAGCTCACGAACTCTGTTAGTGTATTTGCCATTCTAAACGCCTTATAAAACAATTTGATTATAACTACATGGGCGTAGAGTTGCTAAACCACATGTGTCCTGAGCCCATTCTGGTCAAAATCTGTCTACGCCTCTTCACGGTCATCCTATAAACATTCCATTTTTTAGGCCTGTCTGACGTAGATAGGATAGGGGTTTCTTTCGGGAGCCGAGTAACAGTAAGTACATCAGCCAGTCAAATGTGTAAAACGGAAGTGCAAGCAAAGTTCAAGTCCTGGAACAAGATCAAAGTCCAGAATAAGACTAACAACCGAAACCTTCTTCCGGAGTTTACAGCTAATGAACGAAAAGGAGAGGAAATGATGATAACAATAATTACATAGTAAGTGATCGTTGAAGCTGTCATGTGCTGTCACGCACAAGGGTAGCCGGCCTGACACTTGGCACACAGGTCGGCACGATGAGGCTTGTTAGGGTCGGTGTGTCTGTCCTTGTTTCTCTGACAGTTGCAGTCGTGCTGCCCGCAGATCGAGCACTTGAGTTTCTCCACACGGTAGGGCATGCAGATGACGCGGCAGGACTCGCATTCCTGGCCGTACTTCGCCTGTATGTGAAGACAAAATATATAAATATGAGCGCTGCCAGTTTTTGTGTGTGTGTGTGTGGAAAATCTAGCCGGAATTGTGTGCACCTTCAAATTCCCAGAGTGGATAGTTGGTATTATAATGGTCGCTGGTTGCTTCATCTTTAAAATACATTTATAAAAAAACCAAATCTACACCTCTACTAATCAACAATAATCGCCCAGGCTGATGGAAATGACTGATGTCATTTAAATAAAACCTGACATAGTGCCCACTATACCTCTCCTGATGGGTTAAGGAGCTCACTGAAGTATTATCTTCATCTTTCAACAATCTCTGGTGGGTCTGTTAATGGTTTTATGTTTTGTCGTTAATTACTACTGTCGGGTTCTAGCTGTTATCTCTTTACAAATGTTCTGATGGCTGTTTTATCCTTTTTGCTGATGACTCTCCAAAACGTTTCCAGGATTCTGATTTTGCTTACTTGATCCTCTCTGACTGGTGTCTCTTCGCTAAAGTCTATAGCTTACATAATCACAATCTTTCTTTGATTTTATCCACTGTTTTATAAGTCTTTTTAACTGCTTCTTTTACTTCTTCACATCATGAAGGTGAATATTTGTTATAATTCCGCCTGATTCCTCTGTCTTTTTTCCACATAATTCTTCAGCAGTACCAGGCAAGGTTGTTTTATATACACCCCACGCATCCTCAATATTGTCCACCACAGGCGATAGTTGTTGAACGCTGTCTCTACTTTCTTTTGCAACTGTTCTTTTACTCCTTCTTGTTTCAAACTTGCTATCCTGTTGAGATTATGTTTTTTAGTTAATTTCTTCCTGTTTTTCTTAAAAACTAGATATTTTGCTGTTATCCAACTATTTTATGGTAAGTGTCACATAGACCATTGGGGATTGCTCTTGCTTCAAGAATTATCCTTTTTCTTTGGTTCTTGTTAATATAAAATCAATTTGGCTCTTGATAGAGGTGTTGTTCCATCTGTACCATGTATTCCATTGTGAATCTCTATGGTAGAAAAATGTATTCGTTATAAAGAGACTGTGCTGGCTGCATAGTTCCAATACTCTTTGACTATTTCCGTTTATATCACTGTTTTAAGCTGCATGTAAACCCAGAAACTGTTTGTATTGCTTTCTGTTAGTACCCACTCTCCCGTTGAAGTATCCCATTACATATAGCATGTCGTTAACCTCCACTTTCTGCCTCTCCTCAGACAGTTCGTCTGTTTCCCTGATAAACTTTACTTTTAATGTATCAGTTAAAAATAACTCACCTGAAATGATCCTTGCGAACAATAAACATGGGAGCTCTCCCATGTTTTTCTGCAACTTGAGCATCGAAAATAACCGTACATTCTTCGCAGATCCGACATGTTTAATAATATGCTTTGAAAATAAAAACTCCAATAAAACTAAAAATTGTATTCTTAAATGGTAAATTGAACAGCCTCACAAGCACGCTTTGATATCTTTCTAAGAGCCAAAAACTGGACAATCAAACGTCTAGATATATCGAAGAGTCTGGACAATCAAGCTTTCAAATCTTTCGAAAACCCACACACTGGACAGCTAAACCTGAAAATGCTCCCAGTAAAGTCAACTAAATTAATGAAACGCGTCCTAGCTGAAGACCACAGTAATTAATCCCTTGTGAAATAATAACAATCGCGGGGAAATATTTGAAAACCGCAGACACCTAGCTCCCCCAGAAACTGGATACCCACTTTGATGCGCAGTTGGACATTAAACTGTCTTGTAGGGGCGGTTTTTTTTTTCTAGATCTATCTTTTGTTTCAGTTACTACCTCTGCAGCCAGGGAAACAATTACGTCATTTCCAGGAAATGCAAGGCTTTTTGTTTCATTATCGCGCTATCTGTGAAGTTTGTATCATGTGATTTAATAGTATTGATAAGATTCTTGCATAAAACAATACTTATTATAGAATCTGCGGCAGAGATTTACCTACTGTTTGGCTTACAAGGTCCTTAAAAAAAAATGGAAGTCCTCTTCTAGAAATCTGCATTCTTCAAGCTAACACCCAGAATAATCCACTCGGATGCTGCGCCACCCGGAAGTCTTGGAAAGCATGTTGTGCGGAAACAGTCGAGACTGTCCGGTTCAAGTCTTATTTAAGTTTGCAACAAAAACAACAACAAAATGTTAATGTTGTTATTTCTGTGATAATAATAACAGTTATTATTATTATAAATTACTAATAAAAACCAACCAAATAGTAACAAAAAAAATTATTATTATTATTACTCGCATTATTATTATTGCTCTTATTAAAATTTTTTGCTTCCTCTGCTTCAGTCCCCCCTTTTTTTAAAACCTGTTCGGCTGTGGATGGAAGTATACGATTCTGCTACTTGCTCGACTGGCCGCATCAACCAAGCAAAGAAGATACTGTTAACAAAGTGTCTCCGATGTTATACTGTTATAGAGTGTCTCCATGTTATACTGTTATATAGTGTCTCCGATGTTATACTGTTATAGAGTGTCTCCATGTTATACTGTTATAGAGTGTCTCCATGTTATTCTGTTATAGAGTGTCTCCATGTTATACTGTTATAGAGTGTCTCCATGTTATACTGTTATAGAGTGTCTCCATGTTATACTGTTATAGAGTGTCTCCGATGTTATACTGTTATAGAGTGTCTCCATGTTATACTGTCATAGAGTGTCTCCATGTTATACTGTTATAGAGTGTCTCCATGTTATACTGTTATAGAGTGTCTCCATGTTATACTGTTATAGAGTGTCTCCGATGCTATGCTGTTATATAGTGTCTCCATGTTATACTGTTTTAGAATGTCTCCGATGTTATACTGCTATAGAGTGTCTCCGATGTTATACTGTTATAGAGTATCTCCGATGTTATACTGTTATAAAGTGTCTCCAAAGTTATACTGTTATAGTGTCTCTATGTTATGCTGTTATAGAGTGTCTCCGAGGTTATACTGTTATAGAGTGTGTCGATATTATACTGTTATAGAGTGTCTCCCTGTTTATAGAGTGTCTCCGATGTTATACTGTCTATATAGAGTGTCTCCAAAGTTATACTGTAGAGTGTCTCCATGTTATAGCTGTTATAGAGTGTCTCCATGTTATACTGTTATAGAGTGTCGTCGATGTTATACTGTTATAGAGTGTCTCCATGTTATACTGTTTTAGAGTTTCTCCATGTTATACTGTTATAGAGTGTCTCCATGTTATACTGTTTTAGAGTGTCTCCGATGTAAAACTGTTATAGAGTGTCTCCGATATTTTGCTGTTATAGAGTGTCTCCATGTTATACTGTTATAGAGTGTCTCCGATGTTATACTGTTATAGAGTGTCTTCGATGTTATGTTATACTGTTTTTGTCTCCAGAGTGTCCATTCAATGTTATACTGTTATGGAGTGTCTCCGATGTTATACTGTTATGGAGTGTCTCCATGATTATAGAGTGTCCTCCGACTGTTATAGAGTGTCTTCCATGTTAACTGTTTATAGAGTCTCCATTGTTATACTGTTATCAAGTGTCTCCGATGTTATACTGTTATGGAGTGTCTCCATGTTATACTGTTATAGAGTGTCTCCATGTTATACTGTTATAGAGTGTCTCCATGTTATACTGTTATTGAGTGTCTCTATGTTATACTGTTATAGAGTGTCTCCCATGTTATACTGTTATAAAGTGTCTCCTGTGTTATACTGTTATAGAGTGTCTCCGATGTTATAAGACTGTTAGAGAGTGTCTCTATGTTATACTGTTTAGAGTGTTTTCTATGTTATACTGTTTGATAGAGTGTCTCTATGTTATACTGTGTGCCGAGTGGCCAAATAAATATAATAATTTAGGTAGAATACCAGACATGTATAAATAAACAGAGAGAAGAGAACGAACGAACGAACGAACGAAACTTAGATTTCAAAGGTTGTACAAATTATCGATACGCGGCCTTGTCCTACTTCGGTCCCTTCAAACTTCCATCTTTCACAGACAGCAGTTTGTATTTCACAATGAAGCTGTTATATTCATGTAATAAGATGCCATATTATATAATTGAAGTAAAGTAGAGTAGCATTGGCTGGTAAAATATGTACGCACGCTCAACCGCCGACGAACACACACACACCCACATACACCACACAGGCCCGAATACTCACTTACACACAAACATGTTAGACACGAGATGTACACACCTACCATCCACATACATACGAACCTGCAAGTCTGACGCATGGCACCATACATACCTACCCACTTGATACATACATACATACAGTCACACACCCAGAATACAGACATAAATACTATAAACATCACACGCACACACACCCATATAC